GTGTTTACTGCTTAGAATTCAACTGATCTTAACTGAATTGAGGATGTCACCAGAAGACTGTCATGAAGCTAAAGGGTTCAGGATTTCAGTAAAGCGTCTCTTCCAAGAAGTAGTCGTCAATTTGCATATGGTCCATATAACTTCACAGAAGGACGATGAACCAAACACACGCTTCTGTTGCCATTTATCACATTAGTCGTATGTAAGCTGAGCTGAGCTGGTCTTTCCAAGTCCCAAAGAGGTCTTTGCCCTAACCGCACACTGCCCTCTAGTGGTCTCTTGCTGTGGTGCAGCGTGAGTAAAGGAAAAAAAATTCCACTGTTCAGGATATCTGTGAGTTGGTAAGACCTATGTTCTCTCTCCTGGTCAAAGATTAAGGCATGCTAAACATGCAAACTTTTTTCATAAATGAGTAACAATCGAAGTAAAAGTTTACATACTATTAAATAATTTGATTTAATAAACTGAAAGACAATTTACCTAATTTTAGGGTTACCTATTATGTCAAGCATGTAAAAAATGTCATGTTAAAATTGAAATATGAGTATACATAAGTTAATACCTATCCTGCCTTTTTATAGTAAATTTATTCATTTGATGTTTAATTTGGGGGACCACAGTAAAGATGGAAGAGAGGATGGACAGAATTAAAATATTTCACATGTCTAATTTGGCTTTGTTACATTTTAATCAAAAGTATTTTAAATTAAGTTCATTCTCATGAGCTATAGGAATGCTATTTGGAGCTTTAAGGACACAGTAAATTTTAAACCAAGGCTTTCTAATAGTATAGAGATAATAATTATGCCTGTATATAGCTGTAAAGCTGAGATAATAAGGTTTTCTGTTTAAAAGTTTTTCAGGAGAAACAAATACATATCAGTGTTTTGCACAGTGTAGTTCACATACCACTGGTAATAAATTACTTCTGGCAATGCAAAGATAGTTTTTAATTGTTATACATTTATTTTTATGAGCAACAGTGAGAATATAATTGAGAAATCTTGATTTTGTAGATATCGATATGCATGATTACCTCTACATGAATTACAATGATCAGGCATATACATTTTTGTTAACCTTGACTAGTTAAAATGGATTAGAAATATGAATTGCAGTGATTCCAAAAATCCTGGATTTTGTCATTTCCATTTTTCTGGTGCCATGTAACATGTTCCTCTGTCCCAGGTATTTCCTGTAAGTTGTAGTGAAAACTGGAGCAGGGCTGTCCAAACAGAAACATAATATTAACCGTAATTTTATTTGACCATTTACACACTTTTTTTTTAACCATAGATACCCTTAAATTTTATAATAAGGCATTTTAAAAGGGAAAAGAATTAGTTTTAATTCATTTTAAGGATATCATTTTAATATCTAATATATACAAATATTATCTCAGCATGTAGTCAGTATTAAATATTATTAAGGTATTTTACATGCTTTTTTTTCATACTGTTTCTACCCTCAGGTGTGTATTTTACATTTAAGGCACATTTCCACTTGGCCTGGCCACATTCAGAATGCTTGATACCTCCATGGAGTCAGTGTTGAGTAGGGATGTCACTAGATTAAGGTTCAGTGTTTGGCAAAAATACCCCCCAGGTGGTGACGTATATCTCCATCTGGAAGCACACGCCCCACGGCTTTTGGGTGACATAGGCAGTCAGTATCTGATGATTGATTAAAGGTTGTAGAATGGTGGTAATGAAATTTTAAAATTCCCTCTTCGTTTATTAGATGAGGGGCTTCCCTGGTGGCACAGACAGTAAAGGATCTGCCTGCAATTCAGGAGACCTGGTTCAGTCCCTGGCTTGGGACGATCCCCTGGAGAAGGGAAAGGCTACCCATTCCAGTATTCTTGCCTGGATAATTCCATGGACAGAGGAGCCTGGCAGGCTACAGTCCATGGGGTTGCAAAGAGTCGGACATGACTGAGCAACTAACACTTATTAGATGAAATACTTCTATAAAAAGAAACATCTCATCACCTACGTGGTTACTTGGAGTAGTTTGTATAGAGAAAGCAGAATATATGATCTTTCCCCTTTATTTTTTCTTAACTGAAGTAATTTACAAAGTTCATTTTTGTACAGAAAATGATTCAGTAATATGTACACACACAAATACACATTCTTTTTCATATTCTTTTCTATTATGGTTTGTCAAGGATATTGAATATAATTCCCTGGGCTATACACTAGGACCTTGTTGTTTATCCATCCTATATTTAATAGTGTGCATCTGCTAACCCCTAACTTCCACCCCATTCACCCCCATCTTCCCTGATCTCTCCCCTTTCTTTGCTAGTTTGTAATTATTTTGGTTTCTCCACATTTTCAAGGATGGTCCATAGTATTTTATTTTCATGGTATCATTAGGAATACATGAACTTTAACACCCTTAATATCTTTCAACTTATGGCAGTTATTGGCTTTACTATTGTTCAAGTTTTCTCATCACCAGCTGCTGGGAGCCTTTTTAACTTAATATCAGCATTCTAATATCAAAGCTGCCTTTGCTATTTTTGGATTATCTTGTACATTTCCTGCCACAGAGCTGTAATCAGCTGTTTAGAAAATGGTGTGTGGAGACTATGATCTCAGTATGCAGGATTTAGCCCTTGTTTCTAAGTCCTTCCAGAAGACAAAGCTAAAGATCATTTAGTTTAATAATATAATGTATATCATAAAATACTACTTATTCCAATTCAGCAGTAGAGAATTTTATTTTTTGATGTGTCTTTTCCTTATGTCAAATATTCATATTTTCAATGATACAATAACATACACATCGCATCAGAACAAATAATAAGAAATTATCAAGAAAATGACCAAAAAATGAGTTGACGCTCCTTTGCAGTTGTTTTTGTCCTTATGGTGAGTAACCTTCCACTAAGGACAACAGTCAAATGACTGTCTCAGTCATTTGTTTGAGAAACTAGAAGAGTCTGCCTGGAGTTGTTATGCCACCTGCTGGACAAAATGTGCAACTGTCACATTTTGATATAGAGATTGCTTTATATTAAATTTGTTTTATACTTCTATAAATTTTTATAAGACTTTAAAGTCAATTTATAAAAAAAAAATAGTTTCTATTCTTATCCCCATGTACTATCTCCTTCCTCTACCTTTTGGTTACTATTTTATATGCTCTGATTTAGCCTTTCAATAATGCTAATATTTGTTTATATATGTATTAATTCTACATGTCCTATGTTATATATATATTTTATCCTCTTTCTCTTTATTATGTAAGTGTTAGCATAATTTTCAGATTTTCTGTCTGAAAAAGTTATATATATTTTATATATGTATACTTTCCCCACCTGGAATAGTATATATAATAATATATCAATATATTAACACGGACTGTTGAATTGTTTTAAGTAACCTGAAAACCCTTTCTAAAAATTCATGAATTAGATCCATTTTACATTTATTAATAGGATCTAAATTTTGACCTATTAAAAAATAGAGACATATTCAAAAAATTTAAGATTTTATTTGAGCAAAAATTGATTCAAAAAGATAGTGCCAAACTGGAAGCTGCTAGGAGCTCCACCGATAGAAGCTTGGGGAGAAAGTTACAAAGAAAAGGTGGAAGCAAATTAAAAAATAAGGATATTACCAATTGGCTATAGCTTAAAGCCCAGCTGGCTCTTTGGGATGGGTTCTACTTAGGTACCCACTTTGTAACGTTGGAAGCATAAACAGGCTGAGGTTTTGCTTACACAGGGCTCTGTGGCATCAGGGCATGAGTATAATGGTTTCCTTGTTTAACAAACAGAATCCGTTTGTCATTCATTTTATGTATATTTCTACATACCCCTAATCTTACTGCTGGACTGGATGAAGCACAAGCTGGAATCAAGATTGCCAGGAGAAGTATCAATAACCTCAGATATGCAGATGACACCACCCTTATGGCAGAATGTGAAGAAGAACTAAAGAGCCTCTTGATCCAAGTGAAAGAGGGGATAAGTTGGCTTAAAACTCAACATTCAGAAAACTAAGATCATGGCATCTGGTCCCATCACTTCATGGCAAATAGATGGGGAAACAGTGGAAGAGCTGACTCATTGCAAAAGACCCTGATGCTGGGAAAGATTGAAGGTGGGAGATGAAGGGGATGACAGAGAGATGGTTGGATGGCATCACTGACTCAACAGCCATGAGTTTGAGCAAGCTCCAGGAGTTGGTGATGGACAGGGAAGCCTGGTGTGATGCAGCCCATGGGGTCGCAAAGAGTTAAACCTGACTGAATCTTACTGCTTTACATTCCTATTCCTTCACTGTGTGGTTTATACCCGTGGTAGCCCACGAACTAAGCCATGATATGCGTACTGAAAGTGAAAGAAAACATTTAGAAATGCTTAGGCAATCTGCCATAAAGTCCAAGCATGTGATTTTATATTTTATAAAACAGCGGTTTGCCATTGTCTGGGGTCGGGGACACAAAAGACTGCTCGCCTGGTCTATAGCATTTGCCTGTTCTGTCGCTCTTGCGTATCTTTTTGTATTTAGAAAGGTTTGTGTTTCTTTGCTCTGAGGCAGTTCTGTTAGTATCTTGATATGGAATTTAATGAAGTATGATCTTACTAATCCATGTGTGTGTGATAGGCTTCCCCGGCGGCTCAGACGTTAAAGAATCTGCCTGCCAATGCAGGAGGCTTGGATTCGCTCTCTGGGTTGGGAATATCCCCTGAAGAAGGGAATGCTTACCCATCCCAGGATTCTTGCCTGGAGAATCCCATGGACAGAGGAGTCTGGCGGACTACAGTCTATGGGGTCTCAAAGTGGAGAAGTTCAAATAACTGACAGACTCACTGGAGTCCTAGTGGATGAAGAGTTTAAATAGCACCAAATATTCAGGATGAATTCTGAGGGATCCACAGAAATTCTAGGGGATTAGCTTAAGGTTCTATCAGAATTAGATAACTCTTATATGTAGTTCAAGTACATACACCTGTTTTCCTTAAGCAAGACTTGTTGACTTCAGAAAGAGAAGCAGATTTCTGTTTACATTTTCTATTTCAGATGCTGTTTCTTCCACCATTAAAGAAAGATCTTAGGACGTGAGGTAATTGAAACTCTGTTTTCCTCTTTAAAAAAAAATATTAATGCCGTAATCTTTCTGTCTTGTTTGCTGAGTATGATGGATGGAGCAGGTAGGCTAATACTTAAGAGCTACGAGCGCTTCCTCTTCCACCTCAGTAACCCCCATTTCCCTTCGAGCCTTCTTAGCCCATTCTTCACAGAAGGTTACGTGAACATTCTCCAATCCTAACCTCGGCCAATGTTAGCGTTCTGTTCTGAACTATACATCAATTAGATTATTAGGATATTCACTGAAGCATACTGTGAAAATGCCAATGAAAAGGAAAACCATGTAAGTCAGAAAAGGAAAAAGTGAGTCACTAAAATGAAGGTGTTTCTGATTTACCAATTTTGGTTACACAGTATATAACAACCAGTATGTGAAAGATTTTCAGCTGTCACCATTTTCAGCGCTACATAAAATCACGCAGAGATCAAGGTGGAAGTATTGGGGCACATTTTTACAGTTAAAATGTTAGTGTTTGAGCTTGGATAAACAGAAGACAGTGGTGATTTCTGACTGTGCATTAACCTTGCCCTCAGGCATTTCTTTCTCTATTAGGGTTACTCAAAAGTCAAGCATTTAACTCAATAGACTCTTTGGGTCCCTAGTTGCTCCAGGCAATAGTGTGTCTGTGTACTGTTGGGTGGAGTGTGCTGGACTAGGGAGGCGTAGTGGGAAGCAGGCAGTTGGATTTGAAATAAACATTAGACATCCCTTATAACCTTAACCCTTCCCTACTTTATTTGTGGTTCACAAGCGCCATTCTTCCCACCTTGCTTCTCCATCCTGACTTATTGTTCTTAGTCTCTTTGTCATTCGATCACGATTTCTCTGGAGCAGATAATCAGACCCTCTAGCGGCACTCAGTGAATCTCAGAGTATATTTAGCCTGTTAGAAACATCATGCATATTTCAGTGCCCTGGTAAAATACAAATGAAACAACAGGGGGTGATGGAAACTTAAAAACTTAGGAGCCTCACCACTTCCTGCTATACACTGGCTTGTCAAACATCTGAACCTCTGTCGTCATGTCTGTTTACTTAAACCTAGTAAGTTTAAAACTGGATTCATGTTTTTTCCCTAATCGTTCATTTTTCTGAATTTCCCTATGGTGTTTTAGTGATATTGTATTCCATAGCCCCTGCCAGGTTTTCCTGGTTCCTGCCCCCCCATATATTTACTTGATTCAGTTATTTTTTCAACAAATACCTACCTGGTTCTTATTCTGTTAGTTGAGATACTGGGCACTCTGGGTGGGGCAGTGAACACTGGTGTGTCCTCAGGACTTTGATACAGTGGACTAATCTCCTCCATCACCATCAGTGTATCTTTGTGTCTCGCTTCTTGCTTGTCATCCCTGCTTAGCCACTTGGACAGGGACCCCCCCTACCCCCTCCATCACTCCTGATCCACAGCAATTCATTGTTCACGGTCGTCTCTGAAACTCAGAGCATCCAGAATCCAGTTCCTAATATCTGACTTGTTCCAGCAGTTCTCAACCCTAGTCATGCATCAAGTTCTGTTGGTAATTTTACTTGGTCATTTGTTTTCAACACGGATGTCCAGGAACCACCTGGAAAAAGCAGGTGAGTCAGTGAAGTTCCCCATGGAAGAGATGTGGAAAAGACTTAGTCTCTCTTTGTCACCTACCTAAACCTTCACCTTGTGCAGGTAAACATCTAAAATCACCATTCTTCAAAAATGTCACACACACTCCTCCCTGCCTCTGGGTCCTCATTCCACTCTGCAGCTAATGTTTCTCCTCTTATCAAAGCCCTAATGGCAAATGCCATGCTGTATGCATCTTTGACTTTCCCAAGGATTAAGAACTGGTCATTGAATGGGCAGAATATGCCATCCTAAAATATGCTTCTTTGGCATAAGGGTAATTTTGAGCTAAAGGAGCTTGAAATACAGCAAACACAGGAGAGGCTTTCTCTGAATTCCCTAAAAGAGAGATCCTCCTAAAGGAACTCAACTTTCATCCATCCCCTTTTGGTAATTTCACCAACCAGGTAAGACTGACTCTTATTATACAAGAGAACATTGGAAGTCCTTATCACAGCCAGACAAGCTCTGTCATGAACTTCATGCCTTCTATCTGCTCTTCCAAGGGCCCATCCTCATTCTTAAAAATCATTTACTCTCCTCTAAGGGGCCTACATTCTCCCTCCATGTCACCTATTCAGATGGTATATGAATTCTCAAATCTCTTTTGGGTATTCACATTTTTTTTTTTTTTTGCCTGTGACACCCCCATGGATGTAAATTAAAAATTACTGCATTTATATACTTTTCCCCCTGTTAGTCTGTGTTGTTAGTTTCTTTCATAGAGCCAACTATGGAACCTGGAACAGTAGAGGGACAAATGCATGACCCAGCGTCCATCCCACTCACTCCCCAATATTTAAGTCTTCATGCTTCAGATGTTAAGTCTTCAGTAGTTTATTTTTCTTTTTAATTTTTATAGTTGATTAGCAATGTTGTATTAGTTTTAGGTGTACAGCACAGTGATTCAGTTATACATGCATCTATGCTTTTTCAAATTCTTTTCTCATTTAGAATATTACAAAATATTGAGTAGAGTTTCCTGTGCTCTGAGGTAGGTGCTTGTTGGTTATCTAATTTATCTCCCTTCACCTTTCCTCTTTGGTAACTATAAGTTACTACAGGGTAACTGGACAGCTAAACCTAAAAGTACACAAGTAGATAATGGATAAAGGTAACCTGGTTCATATAGACAAGGAAATACTAGGAATACAAGGAAATACTGCAAATGCCATTTGCAGCAAAATGGATGCACCTGGAGATTATTATACTGAGTGAGATAAGTCAGACCAAGTGATATCACTTATATGTGGAATCTAATAAAATGATACAAGTGAACTTGTTTATGAAACAGACTCACAGGCTTAGAAAACAAACTGATTAAAGATTAAGATTTGTTTTTTGGCCTAATACATGATCTACCCTTAAGAATGTTCCATGTGCACTTGAAGACTGTATTCTGTTGCTTTAACTAATTTCATTTAAGGCTCATATTTCTGTACTGATGCTGTCTGGATGATTTATCCACTGATTAACATCACTACTCTGATCATGAAGTGAAAGTGAAACTCACTCAGTTGTGTCTGACTCTTTGTGACCCCATGGACCATACAGTCATTGAATTCTCTAGGCCAGAACACTGGAGTGGATTGCCATTTCCTTCTCCAGAGATCGTCCCAACCCAGGGACTGAACCCTGGTCTCCTGCATATTGCTGTCTTTTTCTCCCTTTATGTCTGTTAATATTTGGTGCATAAATATTTACAAGTGTTATATTCTCTTGGTAGATTGACCCCTTTTTAATGACCTTCTTTGTTTCTTTGTACAGTCTTAGTCTTAGAGTCAGTTTTCTTTTGGTTTTCATTTGCATGGATTGTTTTTCCATCTCTTCGTGTGTGTTCTATATGTGCCCTTACATCTGAATTGAGTCTCTTTTACACACCATATAGATGTATCTTGTTTTTTTTTTTTTAATCCACTCTGCCTCTTGATTGGAGTATTTAGTCCATTTAAAGTAATTATTGATAGCTATTTACTTATTGCCATTAAAATTTTTTTTTCTGGTTTTCTGTAATCCCTTTGTTCCTTGTCTTGCTCTTTTCTTTTATGATTTGGTGATTGTAGTGCTATGCCTAGATGCCTTTAGAGTTTTGCTTGGTGTTTACCACAAGGCTTACATAAAACAACTTCTAACAGTCTAGTTTAAGTTGTTGACAACTTAAGTTTGAATGCATTCTAAAGCTTTATGTTTTTGCCTTGCTCCTCCATTTTTTTGTGTTTCTGATGTCACCATATACTCTTGTGTATCCATAAACTATTGTAATTACAGTTATTTTTTAATCTCTTCTGGCTTTCCCTGGTGGTTCAGATGGTAAGAATCTGCCGGCAATGCAAGAGACCCAGGTTTGAGCCCTGGGTTGGGAAGAACCCCTGGAGAAGGGAATGGCTACATACTCCCGTGTTCTTACCTGGAGAATCCCATGGACAGAGGAGCCTGGCGGGCTACAGTCCATGGGGTCGCAAAGGGTCAGACACAACTGAGCGACTAAGTGCTTACCATTTCTGCCTTTTAACCTTCATATTAGATTTATAAATTGTTAACCCATCACATCTACATCGTTAGATTATTCTAAATTTTACTATTTACCTTTACCAGTGAAATTTATATTACTAGGTGTTTTCTTATTAATTACAACCCTATAATTAGAAGGTATTTGCACATTCTTAGTTCTTATCTAAATGCAAGCAGCAAAGACTCTATGCAGAAAGATGGAGAGCTTTTCATCGTGCTACAAGTTTTTTAAGAGTCAAGCTTTTCAAGAACAGTTACAGCTATTGGATAGAAATAGCTTCTGAAGACTTACCACCTCTGTTCAAAAAAGAAAATGCTGGGCATGAAAAATGATTTTCAAAATTTCACAGAGCAATGCAGAAGGTGTTTTATTCTCATGTTGTGAAAGGTAGACAAACCCAAACCACTTATGGGGAAAAATAATGATCTCTATTTCTATACAATTACCATGGCTTTTTATTCAAGTGGCACAAGTGCTCACTATGCTGCTTTGGGGGGTTATATTTAACTTTTCTGACTTTTGAACCAGTGCGTGAAAGGGAAATATGGTTATTCAAAGGCAGAAGTAGAAGAACAATACTGATGAAGGCTTGGGATAGGAAATAGGAAGGGAGTGAGAGTGGCCAATTTTCTTTTGACTTTTGCTCCAAACTCCTCCTGACTTCTGCTCCTTTCCCTGACTGAGTAGATGCAGTTGACAGGGGTTTTGCTTTACTGTCTGGCATTAGTAATCTTCTGTGAACAGTATTAACCAAACATTCATTGGGATCCATCATTATTTCTGTGTTTCAGCTGATGCTGGGACATCCACCATGTCAGCATCAAATATTTGCCTAGTCATTACATATTCACTCATTTGACAAATTAATGAAAAAATTGTAGAAATAAAGAGTACCAGGCACAAGTCTGGGGTTAGAATAGAAGAGACAATCACTTGCCCATGGCAGGATGGGGTTCTCCCTTCCCCTTGTGACATTTTCCCGTTCTTCTCCTTGCTCTGGTGGAAATGTTGTTGTTTAATCACCAAGTCATGTCTGGCTCTTTGTGACCCTACAGACTGTAGCCCACTAGGCTCCTCTGTCCATGGAATTTCCCAGGCAAGAATACTGGAGTCGGTTGCCATTCCTTTTCCAGGGGATCTTCCCGACCCAGGGATGGACCCACATATCCTGCATGGCAGGCAGATTCTTTACCACTGAGCCACCAGGAAAGTCTCTTTCGCAAATACTTAGCATAATAACACATGAAAGTTATAGTATAGGTGTGGTTAAAGACTGACTGTCTCTCTTGGTGGGAAAGTAAACTGGCTCAGCCATTAGGGAAAACAGTACAGTGGTCCCTTGAATAATTAAAAATGGAACTATTACATGATCTAACAACCCAGCTTCTGGGTATACATCTGAAGGAAATGAAACCATCTCGTGAAGCAGTTTCTGCACCGCCCCCCACCATGTACACTGCAGCATTATTTATAGTAGCCAAGACACAGAGACAACCTAAGTGTCTGTAAACAGATGAATGGATAAAGACAATGTGGTATAAATGTATATACATAATGGAATATTATTCAGCCATAAAAAGGAAACTCTACCTTTTGTAACAGCATGGATGGACCTTGAGAACATTATGCTAGGTGAAATCAGTGAGATTATGTAGTATTGGACACAACTGAATGTCCAATACTATATAACACTTTTCTTTCTTTGACTTTGTATAGAATCTTAAAAAAGAAAAGTTGAACTCATAGAAACAGAGATTGAATGGTGGTTGCCAGGGGTGGGAAACTGGGAGATGCTTGTCAAAGAGAATAAAACTTTTACTTATAAAATGAGTAAGTTCTGCTGATGTAATGTACAGCATGGTGACGAGACGTAATAATACTGTATTATAAACTCAACAGTGGTCAAAAGAGTAAATCTTAAATGTTCTAACTCCCCACACAGTAACTATGCAAGGTGATGTATGTGTTAATTAATCCTTATCATTTTACAATATATACATGTGTCAAATCATGATGCTGTATACCTTCAACATATTAACTGTATCTCAATACAGCAGGAGGGGTAGGAATGACACTACCCATCCCTACTCTTCCAGGAACAGGAACCATTGGGTGAATGAGTCCTTTCACCAGGTCACAAGAGGTAGCAGTGGGACAGGCTGGGTTATGGGGAAAGAACAGGGCAGTGGAAAAGAAGAGAACCATGCCAGGAGACAAAAGGATTTTGGGGCTGCCATATCTGACTGTCTCAAAGAATAAAGATGTAGAAAAGCCAAAAAATGATTTACCCCACATCCTAGAATTTGAGTATATTTGTAATCAACACGGAGCTGTGATAGTAGAGTGGTTAGTACCCTGTGTTGTGTACTCAACAAAAAGTAGGACTGTCCTGTTTTTCATAACAAGCTCTGCCTGCAGGCCCTTCCAGACATTACAGGACACACTGCAGTGTCACATATTATTTCTCTAATTTTTTCACTGAGACAAAAATTTGTAACCAGCTGAGCATACACACAGCTACATGGAAATCAAAATAAATTTAAGAATCATTAGGGCACTTGTGTTAGTTAGGAAGGCTTCCCTGATGGCTCAGATGGTAAAGCGTCTGCCTGCAATGTGGAGGACCTGGGTTCAATCCCTGGGCCGGGAAGATCCCCTGGAGAAGGAAATGGCAACCCACTCCAGTATTCTTGCCTGGAAAATTCCATGGACAGAGGAGCCTGGTGGGCTACACAGTCCATGGGGTTGCAAAGAAATCGGACAGGACTCTTAATTACCAAAAGTTAAATCCTGCTAGATGGTATTAGGTTTGATTGTCTATAGTGGAAAACCCTATGTTTGTATTTGGTTCTTTGGTAGTCCAGATCCAGATACTTACTATCTTAATGCTCTTCCTTTCTAGAACTACTCTCCAAATTTAAGGTCACCTCTTGTTCCAAGACAGCTGCTAGGGTGCCAGCCATCAGAAGGGAGTCTAAAGGGGTAAATCTTCCAGGTGAGTCAGTTCTTTATGACAAGTCACTACTGCTACTATAAGCAGTAGTCCATACTACCTTTTCCCTACCATCTCATTAGCCAGAACTGATTTACATGACCACATATTGGTCCACTGCAAGTTGGGAAATGTGGTCTTTCAGCCACTCACATTGCTATTTCAAATAAAACTGGGGTTCTGATACTATGAGAAAGAGAGGAATATATCAGGTAAAACAACTCACAAAAAGCTATGTGTGTCCTAAGAGTTAAAGGTTGTAGTTACTCAGTCGTGTCCAACTCTTTGCGAACCCATGGACTGCAGTATGCCAGGGCTTCCCTGTCCTTCACCATTTCTTGGACTTTGCTCAAACTCATGTCCATTGAGTTGGTGATGCCATCCAACCATCTCGTCCTCTGTCGTCCCCTTCCCCTCAGTCTTTCCCAGAATCAGGGTCTCAGCACCAACCATTTCAGTGTGTGAATTGTATGTTTACTTTGAGTATGCTATGTATGTACAATTATAGAAAACTGGCTGTTAGGGAAGAGAAAAAAGAAATTACTCTTTCCTTTCTCAGTGCAAGTGGGTTCACATGCTGCTAAGCAGAGTTTCCTTATAAGAAAACTGCTAACTTTGAAGGAACTAAAAGAACCGGAATCATACAACTGTGTAGACTTTACAAGAATGGAAGGGGGGCTGGTGCTAGTTCAAGGTTCATACCTTTCCAGTATCCTTATTCTTATTAATTAGTCCGAACAGCTACTGCTCACCTATCACATCCTAGGTTCTCTGCTTGTCATAAAGATGAAAAAAATCTTTACCACTAGATGGAGAACGTTGGGAGGATAAAGATGCTCAGTGAGCACAATGACCTGACCACATTTCACATGTGCTACAAGAGAGGAGAGAAGGGGCAAAGGATAAGCAGCCAGGCTCATCTGGAGGTGAGCAAAGCCTTCAGAGAAGAGGCAATGCAGGGGAAAAGGCAGTTCAGGAACTTTCTAGATTATCCAGGCTGGGCAGGTTATATATTCCAGACAGGAAACAGCCTGAAAATAGTTTGAGGTAGACTGCAGAAGGTGATGGTGGAGAGGTTGCTAATGATGTAACTTTCTGGACCTAACAGAGGCTATGAGACACAACACCCCCAGAGCTGTGACATCTATGTCTACCTCGGTTTCCTACCCTGGCACCTCATTAGCACACCCCACACAAACTGCTGCTGGTTCCTGCCAATATTTCACTGGTCTCCCCTCTCTCCCTGCCTCCATCAGGCTTTCCCCTTTCACCTGGGCAGCTCCTTAAGTGTCAGCTTTCACCCCTGGTCCATCCCACCCGCCAAAGGAGTCGCGTTTTGGAAGTACACATCTGCTGATTATACTGTCTACAGCAAACCAACACTGCAGTAGATATCCTGCAGCCTCTAAGGTCACTGTGCCCACTTGCCAGTCTCCCCTCTGCCATGGCCAAAGACAAGCAAGACCCTGGTCACGGGAATGACACATCACTTCTCAGGTTTCAGGGGGCATAACTCCTGCTTTCGACCACACCAAACTGCAGGGGAGGGTGGAGATGCAGTCTGGCTGTGGCACAGAAAGAAGAGAAAGCCAATTTTATTGAAGAGTCTGCTGCGGAGCTCCTGGTCATCTATCTTGTTAAGTAGTCTTCCCAAGTACCACTAGTGGTAAAAAAAAAACCTATGTGCCAGTGCAGGAGACATGAGTTTGATCCCTGGGTCAGGAAGATCCCCTGGAGGAGAAAATTGCAACCCACTCCAGTATTCTTGCCTGGAGAATCCCCATGGACAGAGGGGCCTGGTGAGCTACAGTCTGTGGAGTCGCAAAGAGTCAGAAACAACTAAAGTGACTGAGCATGCATGCATCTTGGTAAAAAACTGCTCCGGTTTCTTGATTGCAATAGCTTCTCAATATTCTGTATTAGTAGTAATTTAGAATTCTAATTTCTAAAAGTTGTTTTTATTTAATTTAAAAAAGTGCTTTCTTCAAGTTCTTTTACCACCAGGATCCTTTATTTGGAAGGTCCTTCATTTTAGCTCGTCTCTGGTGCTGTTGCTTGTCCTTAACTAACAATCGCTAACACTTGCTTTCTGTGTATCAGGTACTGTTGACATAGAGGTAAGCCTTTACCTGTAGCAGTCATATTTACAACACTTGTCAAGGTGGGGCCTGGTGTTTCCCCATCATGCAAATGAGGAAACCGGCACAGAGCGTTACTTGCCCCACATCACATACCTGCTGAGCTCGCTGGGCCCAAATCAAGATGATCTGACCCTAAATTCGTATGGTATATACTGAGTATATAAAATGAGTAGTACATTTTATTCATATGGTATGTACTGAGTAGTACATTTTGGTTATCTGTTCATGGTTAAAACTGAAGCATTAAGTTGGGTAGCTGACAGACTTATTTGCTTTTAGCAAAACAAATGACAGCGTTCATTTCTAGTATGTTCTCCTCAAACCTCTGACATTGCTCCCTCTCCTGGGCAGCTTCCCCCAACCTCATGGAGAAACAGAAGCCACTGCATATTTCCAGCCCATTTCTATAGGACACTTCTAATCATCGTAAAGTTAAGGAATACTAAATTCCTTAAGAAGCGCTCAATTTTCTGGCTTTACTTACTGGTGAGCATTAAATATTGAAACATAAATTGAACATATCTTGTCATAGCTATTGCCTGAGTAACCTGGTCTCTGAATTAAACACCATAAAATTTATTTAAACATTTTCTGGCACAGAGAAGACCCTCAAGAAGCATCATCTGATGGACTCTGCAGAGGTTCTCCCTCACCTTTCCCTGCCAGGCAGGTGTCCGAGCCAGCCCGGTGGGGCCCTCAGTTCTCCCAAGATAGCGGTGACCTACGGTGGCTTTGATCATCAGAGCATGTGGCCCTGCTTTAATCAGCAGCACAGAACGCTGGCCCTTGCCAGAGAAGTGGGCCTTTGAACTGTGCGCTGCTCACCTTTTATTGAAAACCCTTGACAGAAACATTGAAGAGGGTTTAAAGGACATGAGATCAATGCCTTCCTGACTGTGACCCTTTCATGGACTGAAAGCTCTGAAGTTCTACCTAGAAAAACATACTTAGAGAAATACACATCAAATGGTGTGTTGCATCGGGGCCTTGAGTACTCTCTCAAACACATACTGACCCCAGAGAATCCCGTTCATAATGACAGAGGCTCCCATTTTTGCCAGTTCTAAGCCATCGGTAGCACCAGCCAAGAGCACTGTTTTGAATGAACATGAACCCCATCTTGCCTTTGCACAAAAGAGCCGTATGATGTGGTTTGTACTGTGTGGGGGGAAGGAAAGTGCCACCCAGGTGCTGGGCTGTGTTTCTGACATCCTTCTTCTGGTGATTAAGGTGGACGGATTCCCTACAAGCTAATATACAGTGTTTTCTCTTTTGATTTAGCTTTTAACACATTACTGACCAGGGGATTTTTGCAGAAACTAATGCCTATGGCCAGTGATTTGTTATGTAAGTGAATGCTGAAACACTCCAGTCAATAACATTGCAATAACAAAAGACATTATTATGTCTCCAGTCAGTAAGTTAAGAATGTCAGCTTTAATGTAAGTGTTCAGGATCTTACATTCAGCCTACATTTACACTAATTTTTATTTATTGATCCACTGATAACTATCCTAATATGGCCACTCCAAACAAAGCAGGATATATAGAAACAAACAATAATATTTCACATGTCAGTACTTCAAGTCCTCCACGAGACACAAACTGCCCTCATTTGGCCTCACACAATTCATTAAATTTACAACTTTAGGATTGAAGAGTATGGCTTCAAGGCTCTTTAAAACATACTCTTAACAGAACTACATGTCTCTGGCCACCATCATGAAGGATGCCTCCAATGTCACACCCATTTTGTCAGCATGTCTTCTCCCACCCACGAGGCTCTATTACTCAAATGCATTTTAAAGCACATTTGTTTTGAAATGTGAAAAAAAAAATGCTTACTGGCTTGGGAAATGATTTCTCCAGCTCTGGGTCCAATGGTAAGTCTGAGAGACCAGAGTGGGCTGTTTCTACCTGCAGAATTAGCACAGCAGGGAAGAGGCGGGGGACCTGGGTCCAGACCTGGCTCAGACTGATATCATTTGTGTCTTCTCCATTCTCCAGAAGGTTATATAGCCTGTATCTAAGGTTCAGCTTTCTTTACATAAAATAGGGATAAAGACAGCATCCAACTCAAACTCTCAGTGCAGACTAAATGCCATATCTTACATAAAGTACATAGTAGAATAGACATTATCTCAGTTGTATCTAACTCTTTGTGACCCCGTGGACTGTAGCCCGCCAGGCTCCTCTGTCCATGGGATTGCCCAGGCAAGAAAACTGGAGTGGGCTGCCGTCTCCTCCTCCAGGGGATCTTTCCAACCTAGGGGTTGAACCTGCGTCTGTTTCATTTCCTGCATTGGCAGGTGGATTCTTACCACTAGTCCCACCTGGGAAGTCTGTAGTATACTAAATACTAAATAAATATTCCCTCCCTTCACCAGCCCCTCATTCCTCCAGCAATATTTACAAGTGACGCAGAGGAAGGTGATAACATTGTCTTATGTGCACCAAAAATCACATTTCAGTAGTCAAAAGTGACCATATATCTTGCGCTTATACAGTGGAACAGAATTCAGCCACAAAAATGAACAAAATAATGCCATTTGCAGCAACATGGATGAACCTAGGGATTTTCATACTAAGTAAAGTAAGTCAGAGAAAGACAAATAGCATATGATGTCACTCATATGTGGAATCTACAATATAACACAAATGAACTGATCTATNAACAAGGTCCTACTATATAGCACAGGGAATTATATTTAATATCCTGTGATAAACTAACGGAAAAGAACATGAACATGAAAAAGAATATATATTTATAACTGAATTACTTTGCTGTATAGCACATTTCAAAGAATAATTTACAGTGTGTTAATTTTGCAAAAATAAAATTTATTTAAAAAGCAACCATAT